GGCAGTGAGTAGGGCTTCCTCAGCAGATGCTATTAGAGACGCTTGATCGTATGGGAGTATTTCACGAGGTGCATGGGAAGGGTGATTAGCCGCAACCCTAGTCACCCACCCGCGACCATACTGAGGCTTTCGGAGGTTGGTGAGAAGGAAGTTCGCACTGTGGACCGTGGGACCTAAAGCATGCCAGTGACAGCTAAATAAACCGGTTGAATATCCCCCGACCACTGATTACCACCTTTTTGTTCCAATGAGTGCAAAGTTTTTTCTCTCCCAAATTCCCTATTAGTTTATTGAATATACGCTTGGATAGTCGCTTTTCAAGAAGGGGATCGTGCCCACTTTGCCTCCAACTTTTGGAATTTCAAAGTGAAGAAACTGAGCAATGTTAATGGAATGGCATACATGAACCGCTGTTAGGATACCATTAACCGTTTGGTCCGCACGGTTTCTAGTCAGAATCTGTCACAAACCACATGGTAATGCATTGTGTTCCTTTGCTCTATCCTACTTTGTACAGGTGGAAAAATTGTTTTATTTTTGAAATGCCTAAACCTAAGGCACATATTAGCATGATACGCAGTATGAACTATCGTTCTGAAAACATAACTGTCCTCAACTACCCACTGTTCTCTTTAGAAGTCTCAGTTCATTCACCTACTTTTTTGCCCGAGGATACCCTTTTATCTTTCCGTAATATTTCACAGAGCCCGGGACTGGGAAGCTGCTGCTCACAGTTATAGAAATGGACTTCTCTACGCGCCGGACGCTTCCTACCCCCTGTGCGGTGACTCAAAGTTAGGTCAAGAAGCTGCATTGTTGCATGGGAATCTGTCTGCCTCGTTGTTTCATCAACAGATTTGGGATGGCTGTCTGTGGGAATCGCTGATCGCTCTTGCCCTGCATTTCAGTCTACCACTTCAACAGGGTCACACGCAAACGGAGGTTAAAGCTATTCCCCGTCTTTGGACGCGAGTAAAAAGAAGTGTGGCGGAGCTGAATTGTCCCAAACTACTCAAGCTCACCAATTTTGCCCACCCGACTGCCATTGTGGTCGATCAGTTGCTTCTGGTCGTAATACAACAGTCCAAAATGAAAAACCATCCGAGTTCTTGTGTAGCATCTGATATACCAAACTTACCAGTCCCGCGTTACGGCTATCAGACTCATGTAAGTGCTTGATTTTGTTCCAAACCAACCTGTTTTAGACGAAAAATAATCTTAAGTGGTTGTACGTGATATTCGTTTTTTTATCTACATTATCAGCAGCTCTTATTTAGCCTCACTTGCATGAAATTCGAATTATCCCCGCACAGTTGTTTGCACTGTTATCACCTGGTGTATACCACTTTCGATTAACAAGGCAAAGTTGAGAGCTGTTTTCGCACATTATAGTTAGCCTTTTCCGAGTGATTTTTATCACACTCCTTTCTTTTGTTGTTTACCATGAATGCTATCAAATTTGGGGTTTGAGCGATTTGAACTCTTATGCTACTGTGTGCAAAAATATTCCCAGTCGGTGAAATGCGAATGTGGCAAAAGGTATTTCACACACGTCTGAATCCGGACTGTGCTAACCAAGTCGTAATACAATAACCTATATAAAAAAAGAAAAATTTCTATGATTTGTTTGTGAGCGGAATACTGTCAGATTGCCCAGGCCAAAATGGGTGAAGTTCCTTAAAGAAATCACATCCGGAACCTTTGACTAGCCGAATTTCGATCCGCAAGGCAGTTGGGCGGTGTGAAAACCGCTTTTTCGTCGGATTGTGTGCCCTTTGGACGAGGTCAGACGTCCAAGGTGCCCAATACACCTCAATGCCCAATTGAGCCGATGACCACTGCCACACCGAGGAGGGTGTGGGTGGGTGTGATTCTTACGCCTCCTCTTAGTTGGTTTAAAATTAAGATTTTTAACTACCTCCCCCAATGTGGGCTGCCAGTGGTTCACCTACCTAGAAGATGGTTTTGCGTCCTCTCAATTTGATGGGAAAAAACGAAAATGTGGTAAGTCACCGCTGGGGACATTTATTTGCATTTTATAACTACTGCTTACGAGGAATAAAGCTGAAGCGTTGCTAATCATGGCAGCTTAGCTGTTTTTGATCCCAACAGATTTTGTCGCCTATCCTCGCCAAAAAAGTGAACTCCCTGCGTTTTGGTGAACGCATTCATCGGGTCGAACACATTGACATTAAAAGCCTGTCGTTTCCTACGTCTATTCCAACAATAATCATAACATTATGTGCTTATACACCCGTATTCACCGTGGAGTGAGATCGTGATATAATTTGGAGAAGTAGCAGGCATTGTTTGTTTGGTGTCCTTGAGGAAAAATGGTCCTCACTTTCCCGTTCGTTTAACAGCAGAAACCAACTCCGATCGCTTTTAGTTTTGTTCATACTCCGATCAATCAATCATTATTCTTTTTAGGTTTCAGTGAAACGGAATACTTGCTCTTACTTTGCAGATATATGGTGATATGGTAAATCCGATCGACGCAGCTTCATTTGAAGTCAACGCGTATTGGATTTTCACACTTGTGTAGCTTAGGCTCTTGGATCACGAAATTTATTTGCAACAATGAATTAGCGCCGAACAGCTTATTTCACCCTTTGCTGAAACAGTTGTTGATATAGTGTCGTTGCTACCAACTCGATTACATGTGACTGGCTGTATTTTGTGATCGGATTGTCTGACTCACACTCGAATGCGTCTTCTATGTTTACCTCAATATGCGAAGCTACCTTTCAAGATCCACAAACTACATGGCTAGCGCAGGCTGTAAGCTGTTTCCAACGAAAGTCGATTATCATTCCCTCATTGTCATCGTTCGTTATAAATTTCCTTTTCAAACAAACCTGTTTTCTGCACATGATAGGAATGTTCTCTAAGAAATTTTTTTGATTATTAGTTTGATCGGATAAGGTTAGAGAGGCAACTTCATTCTGCCCCTTTCTTCCGTTCACAAATTTTCGATCAGGTTCAAAACCAGTTGATCGCAGTTCTCTCACTTCCCTTCAGTATTCAGGTCTGTCTTCCGGTCTGACTGTGAAGAGCTCAAGTGGAAAAGGCCGACACGTGATATCTACTCAGTCGTTTGTTCCGGGTGATGTGCTGGCTGTGGAACCATCCTCAGGTTGGTCAGTGACACCAACTGAGATCCGTGGATCGCCTCAAAAACCAAATAACTTAGGTTCGAACAGAAACCTCTTATGTATTACTGACAAACACAACCGACCTGTGGGTCACTCTTGTCTGTTACTGCCGGCACAACGAATGAACCGATGCGCGGACTGTTTGGCCCCGTTGCATAGTATCGGTTTTATCTGTCCGGGCTGTTGCGACGTAGCCTACTGTGCGCCGCCATCCGAGTGCTTCACCCGGCATTGTCTCCGTTACTCTTCGGTTCCATGGTGTTTTGAACAACCCGTCTGGCACAGTGCGGAATGCCGGTAAGTCACATTCAAACGTTTGCGGGAGTGTAGCCCATCCGTGTTTATCCATCGGTCCTCTACTACTCGGGTGTAGTTGATCTGCGATCGTACGGACACTACAAATTGTTGCATACTATAATGGGGAAGTGATTGGTAATATCGGTCAGCCGACATCCGGGGCTATAATCGGGTTGGTGGATCACAGGTAGTTCACCTAGGGGAGTTGGCTGGAAACCCTGATTCCGTGCTGTCCTCTCGGATCGTTAGTTATATCCTAAGACGTATGAAAGTGCACAAGGAACCGTACTTGATGATCAAGGAAATCCCAAATAATGTATTTCACATACAGCTGTGTTCAGACTGTGCCAAACAAACGACGGTACAGTAAGTTTTGTGAAAAGAAAAGATCTATGATTTTCATGTGGGCGGAACACTGCCAAATTGCCCAGGCCAAGGCAGATGAATCTTCATGGGGTATTCACAACCGGAGCGTTCAATGAACCGAAGTCTGGCCATCAAGGCAGCGAGGCGGTGTGCGAAAACCGCAATCCATTGGGGGCCGGTATCCTGTTCATCGGATCATACCATCCTTTGGACGCGGTCAAACGTCCAAGGTGCCCAATACACCTCGATGCCAAATCGAGCCGGCGACCCGTGTCATGACCAGAAAGGTATGGCTGGTTTGTACGTCTCCTCATGGTTGGTTTGGAATCAGGGTTTTCAGCCGACCCTCCTCGGTGAACTGCCAGTGGTTCACCGACCCAGTATGGTCAGGATCGGTGTCTGGGATTGTGACTGATCACCATTTCCTTACACCTCGCGAAATGCTCCCATACTACCAAGTGTCTCAAATAGCCTCTGTAAGCTCCGTGGATCTCCTTTAACGTAAGTCTTGTCTCGGTCTGATTACTCGCTTGATTATTCACAATCTCAGTTGAGTTGAGCAGACCGAGATAAGATTTACGTTAAAGGAGATCCATGGAGCTTACAGTTATCAAGATAGAGACACCTACGAAATGTCATCAAACGGTGAATCACATACGTCCGATAGTAATGATACAAATGC